ATTTTATATTAACCTACCCAGACCTTTCCCATGTTGGAAACATTCAATATTCTTCATTTAGGACTAAGCTTCCACATTCTTTTAATATTTCATATCTCTTCTACTTATGAGTTCCCTTTTATTTATTTCAAATCACAGTAACATCTTATTAATTAAATGATAGCTGGATCTAAACTATATTCATAGAATAACATAATAAATTAAGATTACCTATGTACATATTGTTGACAAGGCTTTGTAAATTCCTAGGCAAACCTCATAGAAAAGACAGGACACTCAAAGATCTTTTTTATATTCTGTATGGTCCAAAGAATGATCTACCATTCCTGTGCTTTTGGTTTTCTGTGAGTGTAGGTACCATATAGAAACAGGCCAACAGGTAGATAGCAAACCATCATCAAATCAATGTTTCTAACATCTTTCAGAAATCAACTGAAGGCCTGTTAGAACTGTGATGCTGGTGTTACTGAGGGTTTGCAGATGAAGTCCTTTCTGGGGATGAGAACCCCATTACCTGTGTTCTTTACAGACATCTTCCTGTAGAATAAACAATAGAAACCTCTGTTGGAAATAAGTTTACTCGGAGCTCTTCCTTAAGGATACAGTGCCTTTATTCTTTGGCTGTTTCTTTGCTCTCTCTTCCCTGAACTAAGTGCCTAGACTGACCAAGGACAGGAGGTTTAGGAGCTTACTTTCAGACAAACATGCTTGGGTCTTAAGTAGGAAGGCCAGCCCCACCTCCACAGCCAGCTTCTCTGTGAGCTCAAACAGCATAAGATAATACACAAATACAATATATACAGGAAAGGTATTTATTCCCCTGTAAAATGGTTGCTTTTTCTAAAGTATCAGAGAAAGAATACAGTGGTGTATGATGGACAAACGGAGTCCATTGATGGCAGCCTGAGTCAAAAGCGCCTGTCCTCATAACCAGTATAGATTTCTGATGAGTCTTAAACATCTCTGGAGTCTTCCTTTGGAACTGGGGATGGACAAGAAATATTTTCTCCTTTGGAAGGAGAGACTGAAAGAATATTAGTATTAAACAGTAATAAAAAGGAACATTTGGAATTGTGAAGTTTTTGGTAGAGATATCTTTTAGCATTTTACATACCAATCCCAGTTTCCACTCCTTCCCCTCCTCCAACCCCCACACCCCATCCCTTCCTCAGAGAGGGTAAGGCACTTTGCTTTGAGAAAGGTTCAAGGCCCTCCCTACTATATCTAGGCTGAAGAAGGTATCCATCCAAAGAGATAGGTTCCCCAAAGGCAAGCACAAGCAGTACGGATAAATCCTGGTGCCACTGCCAGTGGTCCCGCAGTCTGCCTCAGCCATACAACTGTCACCCACATTCAGATGGTCCAGTTTGGTTCTATACTGGATCCTTCCCAGTCCAGCTATAGGTGATGAGCTCCCATTAGCTCAGGTAAACCGTTTCAGTGGGTGTCCCCATCATGGTCTTGACCTCTTTACTCATATTCTCACTCTTCCCTCTCTTTATCTGGACTTTGGGAGCTCAGTCCAGTGCTCTATTGCGAGTCTCTGCCCCTGTCTCCATCAGTTGTTGGATGAAGGTTCTATGGCAACATTTAAGATAGTCATCAGTCTGACTACATGGCAAGGCAAGATCAGGCCCCCTCTCCTCTTTTGTTTAGAGTCTTAGCAGGGGTCATCCTTGTAGAGTCCTGGAATTTCTCTAGTGCCAGGTTTCTTGCTTGCCCCATGATGGCTCCCTCAATCAAAAATATTTCTGTCCTTCCTCCATCTCAATTATCCTTTTTTTTTAAGAACTGCCCTCTACCCCTCCCCTTCTCCTTCTGCCCTCTCCCCCCCACCCAGCTCCCAATTTTGTCAGGAAATCTTGCTATTTCTCCTTCCCGGGGGGGAAATCTATATATGTTTTTCTTAGGATTCACATTGTTACTTAGTTTTGTTAGAAATACATTAAAACACAAACTACCCCAAGCCCGATGCTGAGGCAACACTACTCAGGGATACACATCTAGATGTTGTCTCTCAAAATAAAAACAAAACAAAGGTGTTCTATGGACTGTAACATGAAGGGCCTGCTTGTTGGGGTTTCTATCCTGCCCAGTACCCCACAACCAGCATGCCCCAAAGAAAATCAGAGATCTCCATAAGTTATAAAACTGATTGGTCCATTAGCTCAGCCTACTTATTAGCTCTTGTAGCTTATATTAACCCATTATTCTTATCTATGTTAGCCACATGACTCAGTACCTTTCTCAGTGGGGCAGATCACATCTTGCTTTTTAGGCGATCTGGGCAGAACTGCGGACGGAGCTTCCTGCTTCCCAGAATACTTCTATTCTCATCGCCCCGCCTCTACTTCCTGTCTGGTTTACCTACCTATACTTTCTGCCTTGCCAATCAGCGTTTATTTAAAACATGATTGACAGAATACAGACTTCTCCCGCACTGAACTTAAAGCACTTGCCCCCTTGTCTGCCTTTATTCACCAAAGCAATCCCATGGTGGAGTGAAAATGATATTGTAGCCAATTACTTGACTAAAGTAAATCATACCACCAAGGCTAAAGAGAACTGTAAATACATGTCCTAGCTTCTTTTTCTTACTCAAGTTTTTTTCAGACAGGCAGGGTAGGGAAGAGTGCTCAAGATGAGGAAGATTCAGGAATTGTCCAGATCTATACTAACACGAGAATACATAAAACACCAATTTCTTTTCTGTGCAGCTTACCTGAAAGGGAAGGACTGGCCTAAAGGTCTTAAAAGGTCTTGGAAGATTAGGCTCCAAGCTGGGCCATCATACCATTTCCAAAGGATTTAGGAGAGACCTAGACACTAATGATACTTAAAAGAGGAGGAGCCTGCAAAGATGACCCTTGGACAAAAATACTGATATAGGAAGGCATTAGGACCACCAACTAGGATCCTCAAGTTTGGAAAAAACAAAGCACCCCTCCTACATATAAATGTATGTTCCTGGGGCCCTTGTAGATTACTCAGTTCCCTTAGAGCAGCATGTAAGCTTTCTCATGAAATCACCATGCCCTTGGACGTGTGTGTTCCTTTTGCCTTCCTCAGTCTTGGTAAATCAGCCAGTTGCTCCCAATGGAAATTTAATGGTCATGGTGAGCTTCAGAGGAATTAATTTTTAGAGACTCCAAGCTTGGGGCTGGAGGAATAGTTCAGTTTTATCCACTGCTATTGTGGAGGGTCTGAGTTGATTTAATAATGCACACATAATTGAAAATAATAAGACTAATAAATACGAATTTTTTAATCTAAAAAGATAAAAAACCCTGATTCTCCACCCCTCCACCGCCTCTGCCTGCACCTCTGGGCAACTGTGCACTTGGTTCTGGTCGCGCTGTCCCTAGGTTACACGCGAAGACTGACTACACTAGTGCGTACGGCTCTGTGCTATTCATAAATGTTTAGTACAGTCTGGGATCATTTCCCACAGCTTCAGCCTTCCTAGGGACTTCCAGAGACTTGCATGGAATACTGTATCCGAGGTGGGAATTGTGAAACTTGTCCACAGGATGGCAGTATTGCTCCATAAACTTCAAGGAGTTGACTCTACTCCAGCCCTGCCAAGCTGAGAAAACACACACACACACACACACACACACACACACACACACACACACACA